TGCAAGCAAGACTATCAAGGCAAGGAATCTTAACCTCCATTCTTATTAAACCCATTACCTAGAGCATCATTGCCAGCTTTTTCTGTATTCTCTGAAGGCTCTCCAGGAGACTGGAAATGAGTAGGAGAAGCATCTGAAAAGGGCAGCACAGCAGGATAAACTCTGCCAAGTCTAAAATTAAACTTAAGAGGGCTTAAGAGATCAGTTATACAAGATATCCAAAAATAACTTAGAATAAATCCTAAGAGGAAAAATGAAAGCACTGCTGACATCGTCAGCTCTCGGTGAGATGCATGTCTGCATCTTAGAATATGAACATGATCTAAAATAACCAGAAGTGGTTACCACTGAAGTTGAAGGAAGGTCTTTCCTAGACAAGATGATTGATAGATATACGGAACAAGGAAGGGAAATGCCCTTCATTAGCAACTGCTTGTGCAGTTCCTACAGAATCACAATCTTGAGCACTAAGCCCAGAACAATCAGGCAATCAACAACTGGAAGTGAAGTGATCCCTGACGTGATCCTCTCCAGGTGTTACTTACCCTTGCCAACGTGCAGCCATTCTTTGTGCCACCTTCTAGGCACTCCTGCTTTTTATGTCCTTGGTTACTTCCAGCTCTCCTTGGAGAAAAGACATCCTGAGCAAGCTGGGTTGAAGGATGAGGATGCATGTTCCTCCTGATAACTTCTGGTCACTCTCTTTGCATTAGTCCTGCAGGTGAGGCACCTGCAGTCAGACACCATGGAGCCGCAGCCCCTTGGGCAGCCAGGCACACCAGAAAGGCTTTCTCAACGCGCTGCAAGGTATCTGCAAGACACCCTTTAGCTGCAGCTCTCCAAATGAGTTGTGTAGCTTGAGATCGAAAATGCCGTTCTCCTTCAGCTGTGCTGGAATAAGATGCTAGAGTCTCAGATACTTGCTAAAAGTTTCCAGTCGCGTGGCTTTAGCTTCACTGTATCCATGGGTGAGGGAGGACAGTACCAGCCAGTTACCTTGAAGTCAGGTTAAGATAAAACACCAATAAAAGCAACAGATCACATTTGAAACCCACATCACAGATACCTACAACAAGAGGGAAATTTTGTACGTTTTGCTTATATCAAACATTAGGTACAGACTGACTTGCCTCTTTGGAAATCGATATTTTGCTTTGTTAGGCTCTTTCCTTTCCTTGACTTTTCCCTTGACAATGCCCAGGTTCAAAGAATAAATGCCCTTCTCTGCCAGGATCACTCCGTATATTCATTTCAACCATAAGTGAACTTTTATTTTCTAGCAACTTACATACAGAAAAACAGACGACAGATTATATACACAGCACATTTAGTATAGGCTTTAAACTGTAAAGAGTATGAAAAGTAATAATGGCATTATAATAATAGATTGTTATTTCAGTACAGCTATCATTTGACTTTTTTTTTTTTCCATCTCAATCCTGGCACCGAATACACCAGAGGGATTAACACTTTATATTGGTTTGTATATATAAATAATTACTCTTCAGAAAAAATTACACACTGACTTCAACAACTCTACAGCATTTTGCTGTTTATCCCTTTTTAATGGCTCACATTTACTAAATCAGTCTTTGACTGTGTAATCAAAACTGAGGAAAACTAGTAAAAAATCTTCTCCTCCTTTAATTGTCTTTGCATGAATTAAAGATGTAAAGGGCAAAATGGATTCCTCTCCGTTGCCTCTGGCAGGCAGGCAGGGCTCTGATTACTTGAGGTGGGCTATTGGTCATCTCGTGATATATCATATTGAAAGAAACACATAGACTTGGTGGATGGATGCACTTGAGCGCGGGAATTATTTTATAATCTCTCTAGTTGCCTGAAGTAGTAGAAGGAAAGGTCAAAACATTCATCCTCAAGATACATCTCCTGCTCAGAAACAAAATGCAGCTCAGAGTGCCTGAGACAGCAGAGGTGGAGTCCTAAACAGAGGAAATTTAGTACACAGTGATAAAAGGATGCAACAGCCCCACTGCAGGGAGAGGACCTGGGCCAATGTTACAGGGCTGTGACATGTATCACATGGACTACTACTTTTTTTTTTTTTTTTTTAAACAGTGTTTTAAAAAAATCTGGAAATGCCATGCATTGCTTAGCTTGCTTTCTGCAAGCTTTTTTTATAGTCACCTAAACTAGGGCCTGATTCTTGACACTTGGAGAAGGGGACAGGTGAAATTTAGACTTCTGCACCAAAGAAAACCAGAGTAAGACAAATTGCTCTGCTCAGCCCTCCCAGAAAGTTGAAGCCGCCCATCTTCCCAGCGAGCAGTGCCTTCTAAATATCAAGTTCTTGTGGAAAGTACTTGCCTCTTCACTTTGTGCCATTTGATCAAGTGCCCAGCTGGGACCCCAGGCAGATTCTGAAGGCATTAATAAAAACCCTTCCAAAAGAATTGGCTGACAGTGTGAATCCAGTCATGTCTGCAGGTAGGATCAGTATGATTTTTGTTCTTTTGCTTACTTTGTTCCATGAGAAAATAAGCAAGTCTTTATAGCTTGGTTTATGAAGTAGTTCTAAGATAATAAAACCCAGACTTTCTCACTCACATCCTCATTCACATCCTCCCTGAGTGAAAAGCACAATGTTTGGGCAGTCATAATTTGAATGTTGGGGCCTGACCCAAGTGACCCTCAGGCTTGTCTGAACCAAAGCTATTAAAAAACCTCTGAAGCGAAGCACAGAAAATTTGTCCAAGTACACTCAAGGTCTGAAGGCCTTTATCTTCAGACACTACATGTGATTTTTGTTCTTTTAGCAGAAATTCAGTATAAATGCTATTATTACGACAAATTCTGATGTTGACATTGCCTTTTAATACACAGTTTCAGACAAGCACTACAAAACTGTCATTTTTAGATACTGGTAGATACCTGTCATATGAAAACTGTGACGTCCTGGTCAACCCTGCTCATAAATAGCAGTCCTGTCCTTGTGGGCTGTAGAAGTGGTTCCTCTGAAACAGAGTTGTTCTCTAATGGTTGGTGATACAGGAGTCATTCTTTTATAGCTATAACCCAGCAGTTAAACTTGTTATGTCTATTCCTCAAGCTTCTTTTTTTCTTATGGCTTGAGGATTTTCAACAGAAGCAGGGAATTCAGATCGGAATAGTAAAAGCTGCGAACAAAGAAAATGTGGCCTTACAGCATTTTTAATACTTTGCAATCTGGCATTTATACTTATTAATGCATTTTTTTCTGCTTTAACTTACATAGTGAGATCCTGCTGTACTTATCTGCCAGCTACTTTGCAGCATTCAGAAGTAGTAATAGTACAGTAGAAATCTTGTATAAGGTCTTCAGTTGCACTAGATTTGCTTCAGCTACTGGAGTGTAATCCAATTGAATGTCATTGTTGCAGAGGAAAAAAAAAGAGATGATCCTTCATTTGTGTGTTTAATTTCATATGGTCTCTGCAGGATCAACCTCATCCTTAGTCTGCCTTAAAAAAATAAGGCTTGTTCTTGCCTCTCCAAACTAGGCATCATGAATCAGAGACCCGTCTTTACTCTGGATCCTTCTCCTCACACCCAATCTGAAGATCTCTGACCTCTCTTTGCTATGCAGTAAACCCAGTGACATTTCAGAGCTTTCTCTTTTTCTAGTCATTGAGGATGCCTTACCTTTTTTATTTTCCCTCATCGTCAAAGCCCAGACTAGGAGGTGATTCTCGGAGGTGATTCCATTATACAATAGGAACTTAATTCCTGCATATCCAGCAAATCACTTTTTGTGGCCTTCATTAGTGCAATCCCCCTGCTTTTGTAGCCTTCAGAATAAGAATGGGAAGGATGGAAGGCCTTTTTCTGGTTTTGCCACTTCAAACACATCTGTATGTCTCATCATTCTTCAACCTTTTCTCATTCTTTCCTCAACGTTCTCTGCTAAAGTGTCTACAAAGATCTAAGCAACAGAATCCTACCTGGACTACTGCAATAGCTGCTACCCTAGTGCTCCAAGTCACCTTCTCTGACCTTGTGCTCTCTCCCCTCTTGCCTCATTTCATGCCTTTTCTTACACATTGACACAAGATTGACCCAAGATTGACACAAGCTACAAGACTGACATGGTGGCTGCGCTCTAGAACATCACATTCACATTATTACAGCCCCTTTGGAACGACACGGAAACCCTAATCTCTGTGGCACAGTTAATGCAGGTCTGCAGCCAGCTCTGACAAGCTAAAGATATAACTTTGGGTAACTAGCAGTTCTCTCCCCCATTGTCAGCTCCTGCAGGTGCTTTTTCCTACAATGCAAACAAATCCCAAGCTCTTTGGCTCATGCTTCTTTAATTGCCGAACACGCTGCATGACCAGCTGCAGCAGTGTGTTGCTCAGTGAGGTTTTGTGGCATCTCTGAACTTGATCAGAGAGCTCTGGGACAGGATGGACAGGCCCTGTCTGAGGAGGGGTGTTGATGCCACGTTCCTGTCTGCTGGATGCTCATCAGGGCTTCCCACCAGGAAGGGCCTGATTCAGAGGTGGCAGGAGAGCTCGCTGCTGCAGTAGCCCGCATCCATCTCCTCAGGCACCCTGGCAGTATGTTCTTGTAGAGCAGCCAATATTCTTGGGTGAACCTGGCTCCCTTGTACATTTTAGTTCTTTGGGGTAATGGTGAGAAGGAGATTTTTYCCCCCCTCTTTATTTCTATTTATTTATTTATTTATTGGCTATTAAAGTCAGTACTGTCTTTGGGGGTTTTACCAATGGCAGCTCCATAGTCAAGCGTCTAAGTCCCCAGGGAGAGTCCAGCCACAGAAGGATGATAAGTGTGTTGTCCAGTGGAATGCCAGGTAACGGTCTGCCTTCTGTGTCAAAGAGCAGAATTAGGACTCAGAACACGAGCAGAAAGAGCAACTGAGAACTYAGCAGCCTCCCAGCATCTTCAGTGACAGAGGTGGCAGAAAAGCTAGTCGGAAAGGGAAGACAGAGCGAAACGAATCAATTTTTGTCTCCTAAAACACTCTTTTTCTTTTAAAGGTGAAAAATGTCGAAGTTTTATCGACCTTGCCCCAGCTTCTGAAAAAGGTAAGACAAACACAGTCAAGGCTTCTTCCCTTTTCGCGCTCTCATCTGTATTGTCCTTGTCATACTGCAGTGCCAGGGGAGACACCTTCAAGCACACAGAACCTGCATGTCATCCGGATTACAACCGCCAGCTGAAACTAGTGCCAAGAGTTTAAAAGAATTCTTTCTTCAGTGGGTTTATTCAAACCTGTCCTTTCTCTGGTGCATTTTGCCTTCACTCAGCTATGTGTTTTCAAGAAGGCGTATGTCACAATATGGACATTTCCCAGCTTCCTGCTGAGGAAGAACATGATACACAGGTTCAGAGGCAAAAGATATGGATAGACAGAAAACTGCAGTCAYGTTCATTTATCAAGCATCACCCGTTTGTCTGTGAGAGGGGATCATGTAGCTGCTTGTCTGTCTGAGCTACCTTCAAAAAAATCAAGTGCACAGAAAGGACAGGATGCAAAGTTTTTCTTTACTCTGGTATTAGAATAGGAGATTAGTAGTAAATTAATCAGTAATCCATAAATTGCATTTTTCAAGTAAGAAAAAAAAAGGGGGTAGAATTCAATTAGCTGACAACCCAGGCAGTTGAGCCCCATCTGCTTTCTGCTCAGGATGGAGCACCATGACCACAGCTGAATGGGCACACCAGCTTTGCAGTGTCCTTCGTGTCAGTCATGGGCTTATGGAAAAGCCAAAGGACAGGGGAAAAGAAATATTTGTGAGAAGGGATATATATTGTTAGAACATCTGACAGAATTACCAACCTTTTGGGTATATGATACCTTCATCAGGTCTGGCAGGGAGGCAATAAATGCTGTTAGGAACAACTGTTCTTAATTTATCTTAATTGTTGATCAGCTGGACAATTTAAAAAAGAAGGGTAATTAGCATTGATGAAGTARAGGGATAGTTCAGTTGGAGAAGAGGTAACAGATGAGCCTCTGTGAAATTCAGTGTTAGTAAACTTAAATTATGGAAAAAAATAAAGAAAAAGCCATTTTGAGGTACTACCACTAATGGGCTCTGTGCTAAGTCTCATACACAGAAATGGGACCTTGGGGTACAACAATTCTTATGAAACCTCTGGCTCAGGCCAAGGGACTGGATGTTAGAAAGCATTAGGAAAAGACTTGAGAAGAAAGGACAGAGCAGATAACATCCTGGTGAACTTATCCACCCAWGAGCTTCTCCCATTTATTAACTATAGCATGTGACTTTGTCCTTTTCAATACAATTTGCAGAATGGCAGCAAGAATTATCTGATCTCTGTAAGCTTCCACACAAGGGCAAGAGGAAGGCTTAAAAGAGAGAAGCCTGAAAGGAAAAATGAGAGTCATCTGAAAGTCTGAGAGAGGAATTAAAAAGGCAGGCTAGGGAATGGTTGTTGGCTATTTTTCCCAGTACAAGGACTAGTAGACATTACATGATAATTCCAAGAGGCATATCCAAAACAGGCCAAAGGGGATGCTTATTGCACAGTATGTTGGGGTTTGGAGCTCCCTCGCACAAGAGACGTGTGTTTGAAAGGCAAAGGAATCTTTCTTTGAATTATTTTTTCTGAGCAAGTTCATTCTGGTGCATAATGTTTTGTTGCTTCACCCACACACTTTTCAAGACAGCATTTAGTGATTTACATTAAATATTTCTGTTGGCCATGCTAAAAGCTGTCAGCAGTAGATTTTTTTCTGTAGCAGTTTTAGAGTTACTGCTTGGTATCAGAATACGTTTCTAGACTATTCTGCTTTTTCTAGTGAGTACATCTGCTGTAGGTTTAGCGAAGAAAATGATTTCTTTATATTTCCGATATATGTCTTTCTGTTGAGTTGTATAGCTTGCTCACAGGGGAAGGGAACAGTCACTTGCAGATAGGAATTKCTGACAACCAGACTCAACAAAGCCAGAATAAACTCTGCAATTGTACATCAAGTTGGACACTGAAACATAGTCAATCCAAATTCCTCTCAATCTGTCTCATATGCAAAGAGAAAACTGTGCATTTTGATGCCAGCTTATTTTCACTGCAGAATTCTTTAGCTGTTTGGCTAATTTTGTTGTTCTTTTCCAGTTAAAAAGGATCTCATACTCATTTAATTCCATTATCTTCCCTCACTTAGCACTGACTTTACTAGGGCATACTGAATGGGCATTTTGAGAAATCAGTATTTGAAACTATTTCTCAAAAAAAGCAATGAATGTAACGAAAGGAGAAGATTCCTGAGAGCTGATCTCTGTTCACCCCAGGGCAACATCCTGTTTGATAAGGGCAGTAACACAGGGCACCTGGCTAGCCGTGCAGATTTCAACCCTCCTTTTGGAGCACRGACATACCAGTTCTTACCTCCAAATGTTTGCTGGGTTGACTGGGCTTGCACACAGAGGCCCCACTAGCTGCTCGGTGACACTCCCAGTGCTGGGGCAGATTCTTGACTCCTCTTCCAAAGAGGTGAGATCTGATAAGGGCAACGAACATCAAAAGTTGAGTATCGTTCTTGACATCAGTTATATTAATGTATTTTGGTTTCCCCATCCATTGTATAACTGGGAATTTAAACATATCTCCACAAACAGATTTCAGCTCGTTCAGTTTCTGAATACCTTCTTAGCATCACTTACCACTAAAAAGTTCCCCAATGTCATTTTCTAAATATCTCCATGTGTAGATATCTCTGCATCCGTTGCACCTAGGCACTCAGCTTTCCATGCTTTCTTTCAGTTGGTTTCCTGGATCCAAAGAAAATCTCTATGTGATGGACTTTTAGCCCTGCTTAGATCCAAAAGCTCACTCAAATATCCCTGAGCGCATCGTCTTCCACATTTAAGTCAGGCTAGAATAAAGCCTAAGAAGCAGCTTAGTTTGTTATGGAAACAGATGCTTCTCAAGTCCATCACCATGTAACAGCAAGTCAGTATAAGCCCCTTTTTATATTAATTAAAAGCTTCTTAGTGTAGRAAAGTTAATCCCTAAATCATTCATGATAAAATACGAAGAAAGCCATTGCAAGGGCTAACTACATCTTTTGCACAAATGCTGCATAAATAAATGAGATCATTCTTACTTTAAAAAAGCAATAACTTGTACTTGAATTCTCCAACTTTAATCCCTTTGTGCTGATCACTTGTGTAGCCGGATACCAAGTCCTTTGATCAGCTATTATACCCTTGCATATATTGCACCAACAACATCTACTAAAAGGAGGCAAATCTGGGCAGCCAAATTTGGGGCAAACAGACCCACAGTGTGGTATAAATAAACACTTCCAACCCACACTAAGAGAGCCCTTCCCTGCATTTAAGGAGGCAGCTGCCATCAATTTGTCAGAACCTTGTAAGCCTAACATTGAATTTATTAGCTATTGCTGGCTGTTACTGCCAAATCTGCTTAACAAAATCAGCTTGGTGATGGTAGATAATAACTAGGAAAAAAAAMCATCTTCTGTGTCCACAAATATTTTGCATGACAGCCTCCATTTGCTATTGATCAAGGATGATAGGGCAAAAGTTGGTTACTTTGGCCAGGACTTTTAATGGTCTGTCACAGAACAGGTCTTTTGGGGCTACAAGCAGTGTGCTATTTTCTAAATTTCATTACAGATGTGAATAGTAACATAATAAATATTTCCAAAAAGAGTTGGAAGGAAACTATCTCTGTAAATTGTAGCTGATTTTTAAGTTCTCAGTCGTTCTCAATTACATTGTTCTCAATGGATACTTGTGCCATACACAGAATAGTGAACTTGGTTGTGCTCTTTTGCTTCTTCCTTACAGGACTTCCCTTTATCTGAGGTTTCTCAGTCTTTGTGACTGCACAGCGAGGTCATGCACTAATCCCTTTTCTTTCCACAAACTCYTTATCTTTCCATTGGAGCTCTCCTCTTTCCTTTCCTCTCATCAGGCAGAGGACCTGCTCTTAGCTACCTGGCCCATTTTTTAATTCAGCATATTGCAGTGAGTTTTCTTATAGTGAAATGCACATGCATAAAATAAACAAGTCTTTCTGGAAGATATGAAGGATGAAGTAGGGCAAAACCTTACAGAAGAAAAATGTTCATTGCCAGTGAGCATTCAGCAATGAAAAATGTGGCCAGGGACTTTTAAAATTGCAGACTGTACAGGCAGAGGTAGGAGATATCTTCTGCAGGTCCTCTGCACAGTTCAAAACGATGCATCCTGCAGAGATGCAGCAATAAAAATTCTGTATTGTCTAAAAAGGAGCTGGCAAAACTAGGATAGTACCTAAACAGAGCACAGAAAAAGAGAAAATTGGGCTAAACCCATATGTGCTTCTAAGAACAGCAGTTAATAAGAGGAAAAACTAGATGAGTGGCTTTGATAGCTGCTAATAGGTGTATCAGAAATTAGATGGTAGAAAACTAGTGGGACAATGTCATGGTAGTGGTTAAACTRAGGGACAAAGTAAATATCATGTACTGAAATACCACGGAATCTGCGTGGATAAACTCCATGCTCACACATTAAACAGAACCATGTTAGTGATCACCCAGTGGGGTGGTGACAGTAGCAGGGATAAACTTAAGAGTAGGTGTGAGTAAAGAAGAGAAAATAGTAGGGCAAAACACTGCTTTAATGTTTTGCTTCTGGGATAAACCCTTGCTTTAACAGAAAATGTCACATCTGGTATGATGCAGAGTTCAGAGACACTTAATGACCGTGGAGAAATTTGTCAGGAAACTTGTAATTCTTTACTAAGTCCTGAATGGAGGAGGAATCAGGTTCAAAATGTTGCCAAGAGATGGGTTATATTTGTGACTGCAAAATACACAGATTCAGCATTCTTACAGGAGCAGTAAGAGCGAAAAATCTGTGAAATAATGAATATTAAAAAAAAAGAGAGAAATAAAGCAAGCTGATAAAAAGAAATTAAAAGGGTCATCTAAAAGGACTAATACTATATGAAAAWTTTTAAATGATGTTACATAATTTATCAGAAAATAAATTAGAAATATGAAATAGGATCCAGTGTTGTTGAACACCACAGCAAAACAGGGAAGAGAACTTCATATGGACCTGAGGAATATTAGAAAGAACATACAGTCCACAAATTAGATGTGAAAACACAGCAAGGCAGGGCAAAAGAGAGCCTGAAGAATAATGTGCTATAGGCATCTAAACTAATCACAAATCCTTCTTTTTTCAAGTGGAAGCC